ACTATCCTAACCTAACAAGACCGATTCACGGGAATGGAGAATATATTAAATATACTTATAAATATTTAAATAAACCTGTAAAAAAAAAAATCAAACTACTTAAAAGCAATATAAAAAAATTGCAATCACGCTGAGTGAAGACTTCCGACCGAAACAAGCCAACTTTCGTCGTACATATTTCATCCACGCGATCACAGATACCTCATTATTCACTGTCGGTAGTTACTAAATTTTTTTTTTTTTTAACTATCGGAAAACTCGACGAACAGTCTGACAAACGGTGCAATGCCGGAATTACTCCAACTATTGCCCCATGGAATGCGACGAGTGAGACGGCCGATGCAATGCCGGAATTACTCCAACTAATACACCATTGGTCGCCTCACAAACCGTTCGCCGAGTTCGCCTCAAGCCGTGAAAATATTTCTCTTGTCGGAAAAAAATTTGAAAATAAAAATGTCGACAATATAATGAGATATCCGCTACCTGCGAACGACGTACTCGTTGGAGTCCTTCAGTCGGTATGGAAAAATAAATTATACATTTACATAAATTTGAGAAATGACGTGTACGGAAATATAATGTCAACTGATATGGACAATGTACTCGTATATACCGCGACACTAGCGCTGTGACAACGGCAGTTCGGGCAACAACATTTTCGAAATTCGTTCGCGACACTAGCGCTACAACGACGACAGCGGTTCGGGTAGCAAAATTTTCGTATTTCGTTCGCGACACTAGCGCTGCGATCGACGACGGCGGGTCGGGTGGCAACATTTTCGTATTTCGTTCGCGACACTAGCGCTGCGATCGACGACGGCGGGTCGGGTGGCAACATTTTCGTATTTCGTTCGCGACACTAGCGCTACAACGACGACGGTGGTTCGTGTAGCAAAATTTTCGAATATTGATCGAAATCAACTCCGAGACACTAGCGCTGTTGAAATTGTCCCCGTCGTGAGGTATCATTGTAAGGAAAAAAAAATTTCGAAGATCGACTCACGGGGACAATATTCGGGAATTTCGTGGGTTGAAGCGGAGTATTCATTTTTTTTCAACGCGGTCTTCGGGGTTGACATTGTCCCTCTTATGCGGTCTCTGAAGGAAAATTTCGAGACGGTAGCAGGCCGTTGGTGAAAATATCAAAATTCGAAGACCGACTCACGGAGACAATATTCGGGAATTTCGTGGGTTGAAGCGGGATATTCATTTTTTTTCCATGCCGTCTTCATGGTTGACATTGTCCCTCTCATGAGGTCTCTGAAGAAAAATTTCGAGACGGTTGCAGGCCGTCGATGAAAATATAAAAATTCGAAGACCTACTCACGCGGACAAAATTCGGGAATTTCGTGGGTTGAAGCGGGGTATTCATTTTTTTTCCACGCCGTCTTCATGGTTGACATTGTCCCTCACTAGAGGTCTCAATACGAAAAAATCGAGATTGACGTTCGATAAAAATATAAAAATTCGAAGACGGCGGTTCGGGTAGCAAAACGTCAGTCCCGTGCATTGGTTGTGGTTTCAGGAAAACTTGGCTTGGCTCTTTCAACGTCTCAGTTATCCTCGGCCCGTGATACTGCCATAGGAATTATCCGTTTAAATAATATGGATTGAGTAACGGCGTTTCAAGGGTTGACTATTTTAGAACTTAAATTAGTTTCCCTAGAAAGACGAATTTCAGAAGAATCAAATCTGGGAGTTACCAATTGACTTTGTACCTGTGAGGACGTCTGATAGACAGAGTCACGGTGCCTAATGGATAATTCACGGGGATCGGTTTAACCTCAACAGGGTCTTCTTTCCTCGCTGATTTTTCCAAGCCCGTTCCCTTGGCTGTGGTTTCGCTAGATAGTATATAGGGACATTGATTAACCGGCTGTGTGACGGGGGTAAACGACGCCAGTACACGGCGGTCTCTCAAACCTTTAGCCGTCTTTACCGCGCCCGACTCGTCCGCGCCTTAGCGGCGCAATCGTCATCCCTCGCTAAGGGGTGCGTCTGGGCGCCCGAGCGCCAGGCAAACGGCCCGGAGCATGCATACTTCAAGGCATATTATGGGTATCGCTGAATGCGCCAGCGGCGGCAGGTTTTTAATCTACTCAAGCAAACCCCCTTCTACTAAAGCGCTACTTTCACAACCTCCGCGGTTCCATCCACATAAGCCACGGACGCGCGGCAGTCGCGCGTGCGCATGAACAATCACTCGCTCGCCCGGCTGCCGGACGCGCGTGACCTAGCTACCGGAGTGCTGTTTTTACAAGCAGGGCTCTCTCCGGTACCCGCGGAATGAGATTTCGGGCTCCGTTTCCCAGGTACTCACAACGACCTATTTCCCACAAGCACGATATCGAGGCGGGAATCCGCAGGATTTTCCGCCGCGATCCGCCTTTCTGTGCGGTACGGTTTACTGCGCGGGTGGCCGTTCCCGCACCGAGTAATTTGCCCGGATTTACGGTGACTGATAGTAGACGACTGGTTTCTGCCCACTACTAGCACCCGTTCGCTCGCATCTCCTGGATGCGGGCTCTCGATCGAGTTTTCAGTGAGAATGAACCGGCGTGTGATCGGAGTTCCGCGGACGGGTCATGTATGAGGTACCCGCCCGCGGTTGCTTTGCCCAATCCTTCCGTTTCATTCCCATTTTAACGTATTCATCGGTATGTCGCAAGGTTAATGGATTACTACCTTTTTATTCTCGTTGCGTCCCCATTAATTCTCACTCGGGTTTATGTATCTCGTGCGGACTAGAAGGGTTATCCCTCTTTCCCTCGGCCGCTGTACGTAGTACAGGGCCCCGAATTGGAATTTTACTTATATCACCAATTACGACTACCGAGCTAACCCTGCATCAGCGCGCCAGTGTATTCTTAGCGAATTCACTAACCGCCCGGAACATGACTTCGGAGCTCGTCATGAACTCTAACTCACACGGCCAGTCCGCACCGGCCGATCGCACTGCGAGTTTGAGTTTATTTCTTTCCTGGTCTGCAAGTGGGCAATCCATTAGCAGATGCTCCGCAGTTCCGCTGGGGAAACCGCATGCGCAAGCTGCATCGCCGACAAGGTTAAGAGTTTTGCTTTGAAATCCCCGTGACCGGACAGCAGCTGGGACGTGTAGTGATCCATTCGGCACCACCCACGATCCATCCGGCGTCCGACATCGGGGAACCATCGCGCGGTCCACCTCCCCTTGGAGCTCGCGACCCACTTGCTCTGCCAGAGGTGAAGGAGATTGTTACTGTGCATCGTCTTTCTAACCTCGGCTTCTTGCGCCGTCATAGCGCCTCTCCTGACCGCGATCCTGTCCCCCTCGACTCTGGCTATCCGTAATAGTTCCAGTTTCGAGAGCTTATCTGCGGAAGGAATACGGTCTTATACAGGTTTGCCGCTAAACCTCTCTTAAGACCCCACTTGGTTTTTGCGACGCCGCACAGTCGACTGAATAGCGCCGCGGAGGCCTTCACTTTTTCCGTCAGATGGCCACTGAAGTTTTTACCGCCGAACGTGACGCCGAGGTATTTAGCCCCGACCGTCGGTTTTATCTTTACAGTGCCGAGTCGGAGATCCAAGTCCGGCCGGGATAGATTACCCTTAAGCCAGAGGGTCTGCGACTTGGTCGCGGAGAAGGAGAGTTTTCGCTTGATCGCCCATAGCGATGCTCTGCTGAGTAATTCGTTTCCACGACTCTCCAGCTCTGCCCGATTTTCGCCAGAGATAAGTAGCGCAAGATCGTCCGCATACGCAATTATCTCAGTACCTGCGGGCGGGTCAGCTGACAGGAGCGGGTTCACTGCTAGTTTCCAGAGATCCGGTCCATACTCCGACCCTTGCGGGCACCCTTTGGTAAGGGTTTTTGCCACTGTTCGGTCGCCGATCTGCATGACAGCTCGGCGGCCGTCCAGATAGCTTTTCGTCAGCTCAACCAGCCCGCTGCGACAGCCAGCACTACGCATGTCCGCAACTAGCTGGGCCCACCATAGACAGTCAAAGGCGCCCGAAATGTCCAAGAAGACTGCAAATACGTATTTTTCTTGCCTGCTTTTCGTCCAATTCAGCGCGTGGTGCATCGCGTCGACTGTCGAGAGGTTTTTAGTGAACCCGAACTGTCTTTTTGACATGCTCGGATCCGTGTCCGCTCGAATCCTGTCTATGATTACGTGTTCGAGCGCTTTGGACACCACCGGGAGTAGGCTTATCGGTCGGTAGGACTTGGCCTCTGCTCGGTCCTTACCGGGAGATTTAAGAATCACCACCAGTCGGGCCAGTTTCCAGGCGTTTGGAAACATTCTGGACCGAAGGCAAACGTTGAACACGTTCGTTATGTGTTCGGCCAGAACTGGCCACGCCTGGCGGAGAATCTTTGCCGTAATGCCGTCGGCTCCCGGTGACTTCTTTGGGTCCATTCGCCAGATGGCCCTTTTTACCTCCTCGACATCGCACGCATTGGGCGGTTCGTCCTCGCCCGTCTCCGGGTCGAAGGACCCGACTCTTACACCCGTTACCGCCCTGATGGCTGTCTGTTCGGGACTCTCACCGTCGGACGTATCTCCCGGGACCAGGATTTCAATAAGTCTTTTCCCAGTCTCCTCGAGAGAGTCGGTGAAAGAGCCGTTCTCTCGGCGGATTGACACTGGAAGATTCTGAGACGGCCGTAGGCCACCAGTCTTTAGCCATGTGTAAACGGGTCCCCACGGTTCCCTGTTTCCGATATCGGTTACAAAGGAGCCCCAGGAATCCCGCCTGGCTTTGAAGCAATTCATATTGAACCTTTGCTTCCATTTCTCGTAAGAGTTCCGGATTACACGCTTGCCGAACGCGTTCCGTGCGTTTCTCAGTCGAATCCTCCAGCGTCTGAGATTGCTTAATTCTCTATCCAGACTCTGGTTCCACCAGGGAGGTGGTTTACGCTTTTTGATTCTTACTATGCCCATGCGTTCAGCGCAGGTTTCTGTCAGCACTCTCATGAGTGCTGCAGCGCTAGTCTCGAGATCCGGACTTTCCAGATCCGTCATCCACGAGCTTACTCTGAGCTGCAAGGACTTACGGAATTCATTCCAATTCGTTTTGCTCCAGTCGTATTTTACGAAAGGATCTGTCCTGTCATTCGGGCGCGCACAGTTCTGCGTGACGTCGAAGCTTATGATCGCGTGATCGCTTGACGTCAAATCGTGGACTGCGGTCCAGTCCGCCACGTTCACGCCGTGAGACGTGAGCGTCACGTCCAAGCACGCAGACCCCCGATTAATAAATGTAGGCACGTTGCCCGCTGGGTTGTTGACATTAAGGTTTTTCCGACCTATGAGGTCCACGACAATCTCTCCGCGGTCGTCCGAGAGACGGTCGTGCCAAAGCGTAGACCGTGCGTTCACGTCTGCGCAGACTAATACGTTGCCACTCACCGAGTCCAGTACGGACTCGAGCGCGTCAACGCACGTCTGTGTTGGCTCCGAAAATTGAAAGTACGCTGATATCAGCACTAAGCGGAGATTTCCAACAGTGAGCACGGCTACGGCAATATGGGGAGTACTGAGATTCTGCAAGCTCAGGATGCCGACTGCGGGGTTCGCGACTACGATTTAGACCTGGGACCGCTCGCTACTACCCTGTACGGACGTCTGTCGAACAGATAGATCCCTTTGCAGTCGGCGGCTGGCTCTTGTATTAGGCAGACGTCTATGCTTCTACTCGACAATAATCCTTCAATCTCGTGCATCACTCTCTGTGACCTTCTCGCATTGATTTGTATGACTTTAATTGTCGTCTGAGACTCATCGTCGGTTATTTCAAGTCTGCAGGAGTCGGTATCGGCCGTGCTGCCGTCCGACCTGGCGTTCCTTGGCGAGAGCTTGTCTCATTATGAGCTTGTGCTCCGAGGCTAGTTTCGTACTCTGCTGTCCGAACTTCTCTCCTACCTATTTCGTCCGGGGTCCGAGTGGTCCCCGCTTTCCTTCGTCTTTTCCTTTTCCAATACGTAAGACGGCCTGAGCCGTCGTCGGTTACCGGGGCGACACGGTGTCCTCTGCCGAAGCGGGGGCAGCGTTCCGCCCAGGATGACATTCAGTCGACGGGCCGCTCAGCTCCGTCCGAGTTCTCATGAACTCATCAAGCGGCGAGGCCCCGAAATCCGAGTCCCCACCTTCCAGACCGCAGTCTGTCGGGGTGTGTACCTTATCTTGATTTAAGCTCATGAGTAGTCTCTATTAAAACCGGGTTCAACCAGTCCCCAGAGTCCACTTTTAACCGGGTGGAGGGCCCTCAGATACGCCCTTCGGAAGGCGCCGAGGTTGTAACGGGATCAAGAGTTGATCCAGCGGCGGGCGGATGTGTCTATGTTCCGCCCGCCCCCCACCCCGCTTACCAACGGGGTGCGCCGGTCGGGTTCTCAGAGCACCCGGCCTGTTTGCCCGCCTGATGCCGTACCAAAGGGCGGGCGGGATGTGGGCGCCCATGCGTACGGACATATGCGGACGCCCACACTTACTCCCGTTCTGATTTCGGGGTTAGGAATTCTGGTATTTCGCCAGGTTCGCTTACCCCGCGCCAGTGTAATTCGGGGGTAAAGGGCATATTCGTGCATGACTTGACGTATGGACGTGTAACGAGTGTCCCGTGTCTTTGCCGAGAATTATTTAGCCCATAATTACCTCCCCCGAATTGCTTAGCCGATATTCTCAGTCCTAAAGACTGGGAGCTTTCAGAGTTATGCTCCGTCAGGGGCTTATTTTCCGGTACATTCCATGCCGCTGCGTTGTCAGGTCAGCGGTTTGGCTACTTAAGGCCTCATAAAGACTTTCGCAGACGGTCCTACCCGGCCAATCGCAGTGTGGTTTTTGCATATGCTGATTACAGAGTTACTCGTAATGTTGCTACGTATGTTACTCGGCTGGTAATCGCGGCTTGTACCTAGCCGCGATAATTGCGATTTTTCTTCTGCGGTTACCGTCTTTCCGCATCGGGGTATGGAGTGCATAGAATTACGCACCCTCCCCATCTCGGTTTTCCGGTTGGCCGACGAGCGCCTGCGGGGAGGCCTGGTGGAACGGTGACAGCCGTTACTTTTGCCCCTCGCAGACGGTCGCCAGTCCACCCGGCTTCACCATCGGGTTTGACTCTTTTTGCCGAACAATGGTTCCCCGGGGAGCCCAGCGGCCCGGCTTACGGCGTCCTCGCTTATTCAGTTACTTTGGCTTCCACGATTAGACGCTATTCGGACCGCCAGCCTCCGCGGGGTCCCATCTCGCTGCTAGATGTAACCGTACGCGAGGCCGCCGATGTGTTTCGCCGGCCTCGTTACCAAGTGGTATTTAAGGCTTATCGGTTTTACAAATTGTATCTGACACCGCACGTTACTGCGGCGGTCCAATTTGGACTAATGCTTTCAAATAGAGCTTTTCTCTCGGGCGACCACTCGGTCTTTTCGCCTCGGGTTGCAAGTAACTTACCGTACCGTTCTAAAGTCGTTCGAACGATATCGGCTTCATCTCGCGGCCGCCCTCGAACTCGAGCTCCTTCGTTCCTCGTTTGAGGGCGATTTTACAATTTCGCCCACCACGCAGGACCTTGTTTTATGCGCTCAAGGCACTCACTGCCGTCCGCAGTTGGGACCGCCGCCCACCGTTTGCCGCTCGAAAGCGGTTCGGTGTGCAAAATATTGGTATTAGGCCGCCCGATGTGAAACTGTCGGTTGGTCGGCGGAAATCGCCGCCATCTGACCCCTCCTCGACAATTTCCGGGGGCTTTAACGAATAAACTTCATATTTACGAGAAAATGAGACCCGCAGACTCTCGGCAAGACGGGGGACGGTCGGACCCCAATCACGCGGCACTGCCGCGAGCCAGTCTCCCGGCCCGATACCAGTCTTCCGGTTAGGTTAGGTTAGGTTTGTGAAGGACGGAGAATTACCGCGCTAGCGCCTCTCGCCAGGTTTGTAACGGCCCCCAGCCAAGATCGTGGGTGAAGCCGGGACGAGACGCGAAGTCCGTCGTCCCGGGGCTTCGACCCGGCGGCCGCCGGGCAGGGCGACGATGGCCGACCGCGGCGGGAATGTTCTGGCGTCGAGAGCTCGTAACTTGCGAAACGGTAGCGGGAGTCGTCATCAATTTTTCGAGAGAAAATGATTTGCGCGTCGGAGGCCCACCGGTAGGAGGACCTGCGACGCCGGTTGAGTTTTGCCACTCGGCGTGCGAGATGGGTCGGTCGCCGAAACTTGGACGGATACCGTCGACGGGCACTCGGGTTGCTGACCATTCCGAAGACTGGCAGAGACCGGTGCCCGGCGATGGACGCGTCGGCTTCGGCGTCGCCCGTGGCGTTGCTGTCGTATGCGAGCGGACGTCGGACGCCGGCTTCAAGGTGCAGGCCTAAGTATTTGGTTGTTGGTACCGATTTTATGCGTTGTTCGCCCATCTTAGCGGTGAAGCCCGGTACGAGGCCGCCCTTCAGTGGCACCATTACTGACTTCTCCCTGGAGAAATTGAGGCCGCGTTCTTCTGCCCACGTCGACGTTATGTGTAGTGCCCTTTCCGTTTTCTGTATAAGTTCATTTCGGGTGTTGGCTGCCGTAAGGATGGCGATGTCGTCAGCGTATACCACTATGGTGACATCTTCAGGCAGTTCCGTCTTTAAGAGTGGGTCCATGCATACGTTCCAGAGCCTGGGTCCGAACTTGCTTCCCTGTGGACACCCTCTTGTCAAAGTAATTTTGCGGCTCTTGCTACCTATGCCGTATGTTGCTGTTCTGTCTCTGAGGTAGTCTATGGCCAGAGCTATCAGCTTTTGGTCACATCCCAGCGTTCTCATGTCGGATGCCAATACCGGCCATCTCACATTATCAAACGCTCCACTTATATCAAGGAAGCAGCCTAAGACATGCCTACCATTTTGGTTCGTCCAATTTCTAACCTCGGCAAGTGGGGTGTGCGTGCCTTTTCCTGGCCTAAAACCATGTTGTTTCTGACTTAATAAATGTCCGGTGTCTTGCTCTAATCTGTTGCAAATTACCTCTTCCAGGATTTTCCCCAGGACTGGTAGTAGACTAACCGGTCTGTAGCTCTTCGGTTTCAATGGATCTTTATTTTTGCCCTTCAGCAGGACAACTACATGTGCATGCTTCCAGTAGTGTGGGAATTTCTCTTGAGTCAGGCAATTGTTTATTACACTAAGTAAGTGGCCACTAATGACTGGCCATACCGCCCTTATGATTTTGCCGATATCCCGTCTGCCCCGGGGGCGCGGTTCTTCTGTCTCCATACAACCAGTCGGAGCTCGTCCAACTCTATGGTTGCTGGCCGTAATTCACTTGGTTGGGCCACTGGCAGAGTATCATGCTCAGAGTGGGGTATAAGTTCTTTTACCATGAGCTCGATCGTGTCATCTAGGTTATCAGTGTAGGTACCATCTTGACGGACCAGTACGGTTGGGACCTTTGGCTCTTGACGTCCGCGGATTAGCCACTTAGTCAGTTTGCCCCATGTTTGGTTGCCGCTGATGCGTTCTTCGGCAAACTTCTTCCAAAGGCTAAATTTAGCCCTGCGTATATTCGACACGTGAGCGTTCCTGGCTGCATTGAACGCAATTTTCGCCTCGGCAGTGGCTTCTCTAAGCAAGCGCCTCTTCTCCCTATTTAGGTTGGTCTTTGAGGTAGTGACATCCGTGTTCCACCAGGGAGGCCGTAGTGAATTTTTCTTAACTCGTTTCGGGAGTACCTCTGCACAGGTCTCTGTGATGGCGTCAGTTAGGTTTTTAGCAGCGTCATTTATGTTTTCATTGACTGGATTGTTGCCGATCTTGGTTCTAAGCACATCTTGCAGTCTGCGTTTGTCTATTTTAAAATCGTAAAATCTGTTGACTCTGTGGATCTGATGCATAGGGACATGAGTGTCCAGGGTTTATTGCCTTTCAGCTACAACTATGGACCGTGTATTAGCGCTGTGCGCTAGTTACGAGCCATAGAGGTTCACTCGTGCGAGGGTGGCAAGCGCCCCCGCCCAAGCGTGTCGTCTATGGACCACCAGCACCGGGGCCGTAGCCCCGTACCAGACGGCACAGGTCTGGAGCCACCTAGTACCACCTCTGGTGAGGTCGTGACCTATCCCATCACTTCCTGTTTATGGTTACAGGCAACCTCCGCTAATTGTATCCAACGGTAGACCGGCTGAGTACCCAGGAGAAACTGCCACGCCAAAGGAATCCACACCCCCTTGACGGTACAGCCATTCACTGAGGACCTTCGCCTGCCAGCTTTGGCTGGAACCATACAGTAGCTCCCGCTACAACCACCACGAAACCAAACCGGCACTGGGCGCCCGACGGCGAACCGGCACGCGCCCAGAGTAGGAGGGCACTGGCCCGGGCATAACTCGGGACAGTGGGGCTCCCCCCCTTCCCGTGGTACCGATCTCTCCCCCGTTAGGAAGGACATCATCGGTTGGATGTTCGGCTGGGCAAGCCCAGCCTCCCAGGATTTGCTGGCTCAGCAGGCTCTAGGTGGGCCTTTACCCCGGGCGCTGGCCCGTGGTGCGTAGGTCGCAACCCCACCCCTTTAGTCGCCTCTTACGACAAGCGGGGTATACTGTGGCTGAATTCTTCCATGGCCCCAGACACAGGGCCCGATGTAGGTGTGACCTACTCGCCTAAGCTTTCGGTCACCACGGCGCCTCCGGTTGTCCGATCCTGTTGTTCGCGTCAGCGCCGCCCGCGTCCCCGACGCACGAGTGTCCCCACAGGACGGCCCCGCATGTGAACCGCTTCTGCCAACTCACGCCTTGACACTCGCTCAGAACACATGCGGGGTGTGGCACTCTGGCTCGCAGAGTGTCTTGTCCGCCCTGTATTAATCAGCCGTCTCAAAGTAGGCCGCCGTTTTTGCAAATTTGACTAACGCACTATATAAAGCCCTCGTGGAAACCAGAACTGATGCTTCGCATGGCCATAGATAACCTGCCCTATGCACCGCCAATTCCAGTAGTGCCCTGTGTGCCGCATGTCTCCCGCACCTGAACAATACATGGTCAACATCTTCATCTTCTACTCCGCATCGACACAGCGGCGATGGCTGCCTTCCAAAATACGCCAACTTGGCTCGGAAATTTCCATGACCAGTAAGAAACTGCGCCACCTCATGCCCCATGGCCAGTGGACTGTTAAGACGTACCCTGACATCTGGAAAACAGCTGTAAGTCCACCTCCCCTTGTCTGAATTTGTCCATCTACGTTGCCATTCACCAACAGAGTCCTCATAGGCTGCACTAATGGATGCGCGTCCTACGTGCTCCGGCAGGTGTCTCGAATCCTCCTTGACTGCCATCACCTTTAGTTCTAAGTCCAGGGGCAAGACTCCAGCGAGGACTTGTAGCGCGTCCGTCGAGGTTGTCCTGTACGCACTGGTTAATCCAACGAGAACTCGCCGCTGTAGCTTGCCCAGTTTTAGTCTGTTCGCCCTGTTGGTTGCCACGTGTGCCCAGAAGCTCACACCATAACCAACTCTTGGGAGGAAAACGCCCTTGTAGAGTATCATGAGGTTCTCTCTTCTGATACCCCAATTCGCACCCATTGTGCCACGCAATCTAGTAAACAAATCATCCGCCTTGGTGGAAAGCATTTCTATATGTTCACCCCACTTCTGTTCACAGTCCAGTATGAGTCCCAGGTATTTCGTTTGGTGTACTGACACAATCCTGTCCTGGCCAAACGCCAGTGTGAACCCCGGTACTAGGTAGCCCTTGGTCATCATCGCCGCCGATTTTTGTGCAGAAAAGGCTAGTCCCCTGGTAGCCGCCCATTGGAGGATCGGCTGTAGCGCCTGCTCTGCTCGTTGTATGATCATCGCCCGCGTTGATCCCGCGACGCTGACTGCAACGTCATCCGCATATGCCTGGACATTCACATGCTGTGGAAATTCCACCCTTAGCAACGCCTCCATGGTGACATTCCACAATGCCGGTCCTAGAATTGATCCCTGCGGGCAGCCCTTGGTTACCCTGACCGTTTTCGACACACCTCCAATGGTCATTGTAGCAGTCCTCCCTCTCAGGTATTCCGATATGTGTGCCCTGATGTGAGCACTGGCCCCCAGTGCCTCCAGGTCTTCCTGTAGAGCTGACCACTTTAAATTATCAAACGCTCCTGAGATATCCAGGAATATAGTAATAACATAACGTTCCTCTCTCGTACTCGACCAAGCATGCAGGTGCCCAATGGCGTCCTGCGTCGACCTTCCTGGTGTGAAGCCATATTGCCTCCCCGTAAGTCGTTGCTCAATCTGTGACCGTAGCCTGTTGTTCATAACTTTCTCTATTAACTTTCCTAATACCGGCAACAGGCTCACTGGCCTATAAGACTTTGGGTGCATCACGTCCTTGTCCGGACCCTTAAGAATTGGCACGACGTTCGCATTTTTCCAATCCCTTGGAAACATCGCATACCTCATACAATGATTTACCAGCCACAGTAGTCGGGATGACAGAGTATGCCATAGCACGCGGACCATCCTGCCGCTGATGCAGTCTGCCCCCGGTGCCCTGTCTGGTGCGATGGTCCAGGCATAGGTGCGCAGTGTCTCGGCTGTAATATCCGTCCAGGCCTCATCCGTTGAGTCCATTTGGACCGGATCTGGCATACCAGGGTCGTTTGGAATTAATGTGTTGAGCATACTACCAACTGACTCATCTAGACTACGGCACTGCGACCCATCTGGGCGCAATAGTAGGACGGGCACCGATTGTGATTTACTTCCCCGCTTCAACCACCTGTACAGCCTACCCCATGGGAGTTTTCCTTCCGTTGTACAAAATTTGCGCCATGAGTCCCTCTTGTTCTTCCTGAGCAGCGCTGTGTAACTATTCCTTAGTGCATTGTACTCAGCTCTAGGGACTGTGTCATCTACGTGTCTAGCCGCCCTCCGGAGTTCACGCCGTATCGTGTGGAGCTCATCCGTCCACCATGGGGGTTTCACTTTAGCCCTATATCTTGTCCTGGGGATATGCGCATCCGCAGCTTCGGTGATATCCATCACAATGCCCTTCGCTGTCTCGTTGACATCCTGGTTATGGCGACCTCCCCTCAACGATCTCGCCTGGAAGTCTGCTCGGAACGGCTCCACTTGGTTCCTTTTCATGTTGTACCTGGGGGGGCAATGTGCAAACCTCCTTGGCTGTGCGTCCACCTCGTACCTAATTAGCTGGTGGTCACTTGATGTGACGCCGGGCAACACAGCCCACTCCCGGACTCGGGTTGATAAGTGACCACTAGCTAATGTGACATCTATGTTTGTCTTTCCACGCGGTCCCCTGAAGGTGGTATGCACACTGCGCCTGTTGGCTATCTGTAGCCTGTGCGTATCGATGAACCCCAATAGGACCTCGCCCCGTCTATCATTGATCCTGCTGTACCACCTGGTGGAGAAGGCGTTGGCGTCCAACCCAATCAACAAACTGTTGGTATTATGCTCAATCAAGTTTTCCAAGGCAGCCACATGAGTGACTGTGGGTACCCGGTACTTGAAATACCCACTTATTAATGACCATATGCCGTCCGGACCGCAGTCCAAATCAACACTCACAAAGTTTTCAACCCGTCCCGAGTCCCTTGACGCTACCACCAGGTTTGGATTAAAGACCACGATCGCAGCACCTACGTCAGAGTACTCTGGTCTACCTGCACGACATGTACCCTTCGAGAGGAAGCACCTGAAAGGAGCCACCTCAAAACCCGTAAGTTTTCCCCTATTGGTGTACGGCTCCTGTAGTAGAGCCACGTCTATACCGGTACGCTGGCAATACTCGAGTAACTGATCACTGACCGCCGATGCCCTACCCATATTTAGCTGCACTATTTTTAAGGTTCCTTCCGTCATTGGACGATACCGTAATCCGTCCTCTTGACCTGGGCCACCAAAAACGCCGTGCGGGCAGAGCACGTTTTGTCCCTAGCACTATGCTTTCCTCTGCAATTTACACATACCGGATCCGCTTCCGCGGCCGGGCAGTCCAGCGCCTTATGCCCCTTGCGCCCACAATGCGAACACACCTGTTCTGTTTCATTACACTTGGCCGCTGGGTGACCGTGCTTAAGGCATATATGGCATTGTGTCACTTCCTCGTAAATGCCTACTCGGCACCTCATGAAACCCAGGTAGAGGGTGGTATCCTCGAATTTTTTAAAGTATTTTGGATTTACCTCCACAATCCAATTTATTGTGCTCCTGTCCCTGGGGCCACTTTTGAAAATCGGCATAAGCACCGTGTCTTCAACCGATTCGTCAATCCCCAGCTCAGGGTTTTGCGCCAAAATTTCGCCCTGGGTATGTTCCGAAAACACCATGTCCGAGCCGACTCCTCGGATGATGACTCTCGGCCAACGGAGACTATCTTCTTTCACAAGGGATGACACATTGGAAAGGTGTTTCAGCATGTCGTGTGTTTCCTTGTCCTCGGGCTTAAGGATCGTCTTCCCCGCCTTGGTTGTTATGGTCTGACACCTCGGTAGAACTTTCTTCGCCCTCGCCTGTGTCCAGATTAGGTCCCGAACCTCGCTTGCCGTCTTGTCCTGTCCCACGTTCATTACGAAAGCAGGCATGTGCACCATCTGTCGGTTTTCCTTTAACGTTTTGTTCCTCGCAGTCGCGCGTGACCTCGAGCGATCCGCCTTCCTATTTTCCTTTCTATTTGTCCTCCTTCTGGCTACTGTCGCAAATGTGGGTGCCACATCTTCTACCCTCGGTTTCGTTGACAGTTGTTGGGTCGTAGCCTCTGCCTCCGTGGATCTGGCCACCTCGATTGATCTGATTGCCTCCTTTTCGGCGTATCTGGCCACCACAGCCTCCAGGGTTTGCTCGTGGGCGGCTTCCCTAAGCCGGAGCTCGGTGCCG